GGGTGTGGGTGTGGGTGCGGGTGCGGGTGTGGGTGTGCTGGCAATAGCGGAAAGTACAGCAGCAGACTAGGTGTGCAAGATCAGGGTAAACTGGGGGCAATTTTCTGCCCTGCACACGATTGAATGGTGCAATTGCCCAACATAGTTTACGCAGCCGTGGCGTTCGTTGATGGGTGCGTTTCAGATCTAAAAGTGTGTGTTTGTGTGTGTGTGTTTGTGTGTGTGTTTGTGTGTGTGTGTGTGTGTGTGTGTGTGTGTGTGTGTTTGTGCATGTGTATGTGTACATTTCCCTGTTCCCCTCAATTGCTACCAGCAACCATCCGTTGAGAGCTCGAAGCGGAAGTCTAGTAAGACGAGTGCCGAAGCGAAATCGAAACGTATTTGTGAAGAAGTTCTGCCGGTAAGGATGAATGATTTGATTTTGTACCTGGTGTAAAACAGTAGCAATGAGTCAAACGGTCACAAGATCAGTTTTTCTGGTCCGGATGCAATGGCCGAAGGATGTTTTGCTGAATAGTGAATAGTACCAGGGATTGAAAAGGGGGAAAAAAACTATTTGCATTACGAGTTTCAGCTACGGACGCAATTGGAAACGGCTGCTTGTCCGGTTTAGTTGCCCATTTGACTGCAGGTGGTAACATCTGTGAGGCCAGCTGTCTCTTACCTCCAGACTTTTGTTTATTGTACGCACAGTCGACTCCGCTTATAACCAACTCGCATGTAGCGAATTTCGTGATACAGCAAACTATTGTCCCAGTCCCTGTTTGAACCCATACAAAAATGGACGCGCTGTAGCGAACTGTTTTCATGTCTAACGAACCGTATCGTGTAGGGGTGCAGCATGTCAACCAACTACACTCTCAGTGCAGTCACTGGCCACATGCCAGCGGGCAGCAGGCATGATGCGTTATTTCTTATATTTGTATGTGTGAGTGTAGTTCTGTTATTTCTTATATTTGTATGTGTGAGTGTAGTTCTGTTGTAAAGAACTTTGGCTATTAGGAACTAACGTTAATTCTCCTGCACAGTGCTGTTAGTTAGATCAGGAATCGACTGTCTATTCAGACTAATATTCAGACCCCCAAACTACACTTACAGGTCGTATACCCGGACTTGGCTTGGGCCTCTTCACTTCAGCTTCTAACGACTGGGTGTCTGGCTGTACCCTGGGCTGTCACTGGATGCGTGAATACCAACACCTGTATCTATTTCTCACTGACTCTCTCTCTCTCTGTCTCTCTCTCTCTCTCTCTCTCTCTCTCTCTCTCTCTCTCTCTCTCTCTCTCTCTCTCTCTCTCTCTCTCTCTCTCTCTCTCTCTCTCTCTCTCTCTCTCTCTCTCTCTTCTCGCTGTACTTGTCTTTGCAGGGTGTTCTTGATGACCCGGTGCGTTTCTCTGACCCCGGCACTTGGATTAGAGGTTTACACAGCAAGCGGCAGGTAAGCCACTCTTGCCGTTGCACTATGATGCCTTCAAGGATGGTGAGGAGGTGCTGGATCACCTACTCTGGACTGCCAAACCGCTTCCCAAGCATGCCTATTATTTCCGGCCTGCATTGAACTCGCTCCTTGGCCTTGGCCGTTAAATGCCCGGTACAGGCAAAACAGATTCTTTCCCAGATGCAATTATGTGTCATCAATGTGAAGTCATGTGTCAAGAAAGGCCAACAACGTAGGGCAATTCTCTGTCAACACCTTGCCTCGCCAAGTACCTCCTCATGTATTTGCTGTTGATCTCTAGTGGTTTTGAGTACGTTCTAGGGCTCCAATGTCTTCGTTGGACTTCAGTGTTCCCGTCTAGAGTGACCCGGCTGTCGCAGACATGTTACTTCAAGCGCCAGTCGATCCCTGGCTCAATGGGTCACATGATGCTGGTCACAGTACATGCACATGTGTAGTTCCACTGTACGCTCTTCATGTCCGTTTTCTATGCCAATCTGGTTGCATGACAACGACGTGTAACAGCTCTATTTTATCCGATATTGTATTAATGGACTACCCCTCATACGCCTGAGGTCTATCTTCTGAGGTAATACGATAGTACAGTCAGTTTCAAAAAGATTAGCAATCCTGGCGATCGCCCGGGGAGTTTGCCGTCTTATCGTATGCGCACTCGAGAGCTGGCTGGAAAAACTCACTGTGAACTCGAAGAAATAATCCGCGCGAAAGCATGAAAAATGACAACTCACTCACGTCGGTACATGTACGTCTGGTTTACAACAAACGAGTTCTTCCTCGTACTAGCTCGTATCGATATGGAGTCAGAGAGGCCCGGACATGTCGAAAGTGTGGTAAATGCTGACGAGCGGGATGGGTCCCAATTCGTTTCGTGCCCAATTTCTTTGAGCTGCGATGCAATTTACTCTCACGATGTGACGAAAACGACATCGACACAGACTCATTCCCAAGGCCATGACTTGGCAAAGCTATCCGTGTGACTTCGACGATATTTGAGAAAAGCAGACGCCTGTGAAAGCTGGTAGAAGACGGCGTTGACTCCTAAATTCAAATAAATTGGCGATCTTGAAATACTAAAATAATTCTCAAAGAGAAATCGATCGATCGATGTGCCGTTGTAGTCAACAACACGTAGCTACAGCGCAATGACTTCCGTGTTCACTCACACCGTTTCAGTGTTGTGGGTGTGTTCACATGGCGTGAACCAGTCAAGTGTCAGTAAGTTCGGCAGGAAACGCGAGCTCCAACAACAACAAGTCGTTTGGCGCAGCCACCTTCTTTGGCTTGTACTTTTTGTACCAACGTGATCACCAAAACAATGAAAAAAAAGTTTGACTTGAAGATAGTTTGGGATTTGAACTCACAACTTCATGGTCAGCAGACAGCATTCATAACCACAAGGCCAAAAAGGAAGGGATAAATCGTGGGTTTTGATAAAAAATCGATACTGACATCCAGGGCAAATTGTAAACCATGGGAAAAGGCCGAAAACCTGGCCGAAATTCTAACTCCTTAACGGCTGGTCCAATTGTTCCCAAACCTTCACAGAACAATTTGCCATGTCCTAACAAGCCATTCTATGCACTTTTTTGTCCAAATTTCCCTTATCTTCATACTTTTTAAGACCAAAACCTGATTGCTAATCTTTTTGAAATGGACTATAGATGAGAGAGGCCATAAGTTCATAACCATTCACAAAGATGTTGCTGGTTGAATGGCATTAGTGTTGCGTAGGCTTAGGCCCATTTCAGACTAGGTACAAAACAGCCTATAAGTCACATTTACATAGAAGTTTCCAAGACAACAACAAGAATCTGGCGGGAAGCCTAAAAAGCTCCTTTCAGGCAGAGTGCGAACCCTTGTACAAGGCAACTTTCCTGCATTTATTGTACTTTCACCAGGCAGTCGTACAAACTTTGTACCCGGGTACGACTGTCCGCTGCTTTCACACATCCCAGGCCCCTTGCGCAATTGCGTAGGGTCAAAGGTTACCTGTATATTGCATGTAAAATGTGTAGTCTAAATGCAGGCGTGGAAAAATGTTGCCTTTTAGGTTTTATGTGATTTTGTACTGGATGTTCTATGTACGTAGCCTGATGAGGGCCTTACTGTAACTGGAAAGTTTAACGAGCAAAAAGTTTAACGTTTTTGTAATTTTGGCATGATAACGTGCAGAAAGTTTAACGATGGCTGCGTAGCCACCTACCTGTATGCGCATCTTTACACTGACATCTCAAACCGGGTTTGCAATAATGTTTCTTCGAATAACGAAAAAAATGGTCGTTAAAACATTCCGGTTTTACAGTACCTTTTTCTACCTATTCCTCCCGTTCTGTTGCTTAGACTATCATGGAGTCCAGGGAGAAGCGGCGGAAGAAGCGCTCTGAGCTGTCCAAGCGTCACAGCCATGCTTCTCACCAGCGCATGCGTATCATTGCTGAGTTGGCGCGGGAAAAAGGTGAGACTGGCTTGAGTGGTGTGCGTGTACTGGCTCTGAACAAGTGTGGAGTGCATGAGACACATGATTGTATTCGTCAGCGGAGT